TGTGGGCGGGGTTATAGACAGAAAGGACAGCTGTCCGTCCATTAGTGCTGAAAGCACAGCTGCAGTAAAAGGTGAAGTTTTATTGTTTATTAAGTGGTTTAATTTGAAGACAGTGAAACTCTGTCCCAGATCCTCAAGCTTCAAGGCGTTGGTGTGAAAATACTCAAAAAATACGAGTTCAAAAGCAGCCGATAACTTGTCAAAAGTTTTCCCAAAAAAAGCAGAAACAGCTCATATTTTAACAGAAAAAGTGAAAATGTGTTTTAAAGAATTCCTCACATTTTTGTTGAAAACTTCACCAGAATTTCTTCAGTTTCTCATTATCTACAAATGGAACGTATTTACCTTAGCGAGAGTTTCAGCAAAACTTTTATTTTTTTGGCAGCTGCTTTTTTACATTTTAATATATTTCCTGGTTTACTTTTGATATCCAATATTTTGGCAATTTTTATATACATTTGACGATCATTACCTAGTTACCCCTTGGCTACAATTTGAATGTGCCTTTAGCCAATCGTGCGATCATTTTGGAAAATTACAACTGAGTAACGTCCCAGTTGACTACTGGGTAGCACGAGGTGTTTTCTACTTGAGAATTCTGCAGCTTTTAAAATTTTGTGCACCGAGCAGAAAGTAAAAGACAGCTGCTGTTGAGGCTGGAGCTGGAGCTGCAGTTGAGCGTGACTGATCTGAAATCAGCTTTTCTGCTTATAAATATAGAAGAGACGGAGACGAACGCTCTCCCTCTACCTCCTGGTTTCCTGGTTTTTCCACACCCGTATAAACGTGCCGGCCAGTGCTCTGCTTTCAATTCCAGTTACGGCTGAATACGTTATTCCCCACTTCCCACTCTAGAGGGAAGGGCAAGCGGGAGGAGGAAACGAGCCTGAAAGTGAAGGATTTTCATTACGGAGCTTCATAACTAATGTTGTTGGGAGTGATGAATAACAGGGAGTGGTACGGGGTTGGGGGGTGGTGGGGGGAGAAGAAGCTGCAGCAGCAGAGAAACATGCGTCAAAGCTGTCTTTTGGCTCAGACGAGAGAGGAATAATTTATCCTGAATTTACACATCAATGACAGTTTTCCGCCTCCTCCTGTTTTTTTTTTCACCACTGCTAAAAAAACGAGGTGTGGTTTGGAAAAATCTGCACCTGTCACTCCACCAAATGTAATGAGGATTAAAAAAAAAAACTATCCAACAAACAGTGATGTCTAACTCTCTGCCAGCTCTGATTCATTTAGTAGAAAAATACTGTTTTGTGTGTAAATCGAGTTGTTTTTGAAACCCGGTTTTTGACGGTGGAGCTAATTGAGGTTGTGTTGTTTGAAGTTAAAAAGTATCCGTGAAACAGCTAAATAAGCCAAAGTAGGAAAAAACTAAAAAACAAAACAAAACATATTAATAAAGGTTAGCTCACAAATAGCTAAATGTTAGCCAAAAAATTAATAGCAAAACTAACAACGGATTAAGATACAAAAAGCTAATAGTTGTGAAAACTGAAACATCCTAAGAATAAGAACAGAAGTGACTTAAGGTTAGCCAAGAAGAAAACTGAAACATCCTAAGAATAAGAACTTTGTTGCTAATAGCTGAGTAAAAGACAAGAAAATTTGGTCAAAGTGGATGAAAAAAATTAAGAAATTATTCAAAAAAAATTTGGATGTTTTTGGTGATTTTTAATTAATCATAAAATGTCTGATAATTTTTCATGCAGAGTTTCTTCAGACGGTAAAGTATGTTTGGAGAAAAACGTAGCACTGAGAAACTTTGTACCTCATTTTGAGGCTTTTGTCAGACCGGTACAGTGATACCTGTTTTAGCAGTGAAACTCGTCTGCTGCAGCTTTAACTTTAACAATGCCATTGTTGGTGCAGACAGGTCCCATGATGTGCTCCGCTTTCATGGCTGCTCTACCTTTGGGCCTTTAAGCCCAGCAGACAACAACAGACGTTCCATCAATGGCAACACACGGATAGAGTCATTAAAGCTATTTTAGCTCTGAACAAATAGTGCTGCATACAGAGCAGCAGCTGTACTAATATCCAGCTCTGCACAGGTGGAGCTACAATAGGTATGGCTGACATGTGGCGGCTCCTTTTCAAGTTGAAGAGGAGGGAAAGTTCGCCCGGACTCACAAAGCTACAAATACCTGTTGCGTTCCCATGAAAATAACCTGTTGTTGTATGATCTCTGCACTTAAGAACATAAGTGCCGCTAAAAACGTCCGGAGCCAAAGCTCCCGACTTCACCGAACGTCCATTGTGTCACCGGAGATTTCCAGTCCTGTTAAAAAGAACGACACAGACCTCGGGTTTTTATGGGCGAACATAAAAGAGCCGACTGCTGCTTGTTTAATGGAGCCATCCCTGAATAGAGCTTCTATTCATAAAGTCTGACCGTTCGTCATAAACCTTCAGGGCCAAATCAGTGGCATTGTTTTTCCCCCTGGTGGCCAAGCTACATTTAGTTTTGGATTATGAATAGCTTCATAGAATATTACCTGAAAATCTTCAAAATGTGTTTGGAAAATATTTTAAACCTGAGGTAAGATGAATGGCTAACTAAAAGATAGCCAGTGTGGCAATACCAGCTTTTTCCTAGGACAAAGATTGCATCACTCGTTATATATAAACCTTGTTAACTTGTTAGCGTCCATTAGCAAACACAATTGAAAAAGTAAGGTGGTAGCTAAAAATTGTTTAAATATACATTAGTCCAAATATACAGGTATGTAAGTTGATACAACTGGATAAAAATACCTAAAAAATATAACACTATTGTATAGACTGACACCCCCCCAAAAAAACTAAACAAGATTAAACAGAAAAAATTCAAATTAAACATTTCTAGACTCAGCTAGAAAACCCCCAAAAATGACAATATTAAATGGACTTCAGCAAAGATTTCAATAACATAAAAAAGCTTAAAGTAGTCAAAGAGAGAGAGAGAGAGAGACACACGTCTGAACCACTTTCATGCTGAAGTACTGTAGTAGAACGTTGTTAAAAACCTGTCAACGTGCCAGGACGGGGCCCAGAACCTGGTTTATACCTGGTATAAATAGTGGAGCTGACTGAGTATGAAGCCAGCCATAAGAGGCAGCGACATTTTAGGAATATAGAACAACTTTTTCTCCACTGCAGCTTAGAAAGAGATTACAGCCGAACAGGAAACGTATTTCTGCTAAAACGTCGCAGAAAATCCCTTCCGTTTTCTTGGCTTGTTTTTAATTCCCTGGGTCTTATTTTTGGAACAGCGTTTAAAGAATATTGGAGCCCAGCGATGACCCTTTTCACCTGTGAAAGATATTGAACGGACAAAAGGCAGTCTGGGGCGGGTCGGCAGCAGACGTGTGCAGACAAGTGAAGAGGGGAGGGTGAAGAGATCACAGAGGAGCAGTGAAAGAGAGAGTGCGGGGGCGAGGTGTGGAACAGATGTGTGGTCTTTGTGGGGGGCGGTCAACCACAGCCGTTCACCTGGATGGATGTGAGGTACCGATGACTGGAGAGTGAAAGGAAAATGGAAAAGATTCAAACTTGTGTCATTTGATTTTATAAAGAGTAAACCAGTTACCGTGGATTTTATGTGGTTACACTAAAACCTATCCATTCACGAGCTAGTGATGCCTTCACTGTCCTTAGAAAAACAATGCTAAATTTGTAAAGTTTGCTAAAAGTACCCGATGGAAGGTTCTCCAAAGGAAGACAAATATTGATTAAAAAATCAAAAACAAAAAACAACAACCAATATATTCATTGCTAAAAGTACCCGATGGAAGGTTCTTTAAAGGAAGACAGATAAATCTAAAAGAGAAAAAAAAAAACAACAACCAATGTATTCGCATTTTGGCCAATAGTGGCTAAAGTTTAGCCTTTATAAAAGTAAATGAGGAAAAACAGGCAGTTCTGTTGTCAACAGTGATCCAGTCTGGGATGGACCACAGCGTGTGAGCCAAGAAAGTCACTTGCAGTACCATGAGTTCACCACACAGTCCTTTAAATCTTTAAATGATTCAGTCAGAGGCCTTCAATGGTACGCTTTCCCTTTTTTTATTTATTTTTTTTTCAACCAGCATACTAATCTCTTAGATCTTGGCACACACTGCATCAATCACAACACGGTGCATGAACAGGTTGAGACCCACAAGAACAAGCTCTCTCTCTTACACACACACACAAACACAGATACTAGTGTTTCTGTTTTGTGAGTACTTCACGTCGACATAATACTTTCCCGAGCCCTTAACGCTCACCTTAACTATTACAAATTAGTGCCTAATCTTAATCCGTCTCCTCACTCTAATCTGACCACAATCCTAATGCTAACTCTAAACTAAAACTTGAACCTAAACCTTAAACCTTAAAACTACCATATTTAAGGTTCAAGATTTTGTCTTTCTGCAATTCCTGCATGATATTTGAGAGAGAGACATTTTAATTTTTTTCACAGTTTCATCAACACATCATGAACAAATCACAAATTATCCAAGTCCAAAGGGAATTTAACTGTGTCCCCAGAAGTACAGCTAAACCAACAACACACACACACACATGCAGATTTGCAGTCACCTCCTCGCCCACGCGTTACCTACGCCTGCTCATGTGCGACTCCCTAGGGCGGTGTCAGGGCCTTTGACTGATGAAAACACACCAGAGCTGGTGTTCTCAGTGCCACACAACAAGGCCTGCAGTTATAGATGAGCTGCCAGCTGAAAATCCCACTCTTGATGGATTTCACCGCCAGCACATTTGCAGCTTAAAGCCCTGGTTTAGCCTCAACGTGCAGCCTTAGTGTGTTTTTCTTGCAGTCTCCTTCTGTTTGCCAAACAGTGTCTGTAAAACTCTGATGTAGTCGTGCAGACCAACTATAAAAGATCAGCTTTTGAAAAA